AAGGACCACCTCACAACATCTCCATGGGACCACTGCCTTCCTACTTTCTCCTTTTGTCAGCTCCGAGAAGACCAACTTCACAATGTCTGTATGGGACTGCTATCTGCCTACTTTCGTCTTTCTCCAATTCTTAGAAGGTTTATCTCACATTTTTCCATGGGATCACTGCCCTGCCTTATTTCTCCCTACTCCAGCTCTGAGAAGGCCTATCTTACAATGTCGCCATGGAACCACTATCTGCCTACTTGCTCCAGCTCTGAGAAGGTCTACCTCACAATGTTTCCATGGGACCGCTGCCCACCTGGTTTCTCCCTTCTCCAGCTCTGAGACAGCCTACCCCACAGGGAAGAAAGCTGATAAGAAGAGAATCAGCTCATTTGAGAGCTGGAGGTGAGTTCTGCGCTTGATTTCTGGAATTTAGTCACAACGGGAAGTGTACCAACCTTAGTTTTAATAGAGCTGATAGGCTTTAAGAGGGAAAAGACCTTGAGCAATACCTGGGCACCTGGCGAACGTGGGCCAGTTTATACACGAAATCCACTCCCCACCAGTCTCTGTGGATCTGTCTGGAGATTCGAGAGATTGACTATTGTATGTAGACGGTGCCTTTGGGGCGAAAGTTGTTGGCATCCCTTTCCACATGCGTAGGAGGGGGGAAGGAAAGCGAATAAAGCCAGAGCCCTCTCAGGATGGAATGAAGTTTCTTTGCGGTTTCGTTGGGTTGTCCGAAAACACAGCAATCCCTGGACATTTTCCGGCTGCGTTTTACAAGCCACTTGCTTTCTAGTTAAAATAATCGTGGGCCTTTGGCATGCTACAAAGAGCTTCAAAGTCCTCCTTCCACAGCCCCACCCGGTCAGTCTTGATCTAAATTTACAGTGGCTCAGCATGCTAAGCTGACCATGACATGAAAAAAAAAAATCCCCATCCGCTCATTAGTGACTCAAGTGGAAAGAGTTTGGGCTTTAGGCTCATCAGCCGCGAAGAGCAGTCAGTTCTGCCAAGCTGCATCTGTCATGAGGGGTGCATCTACACTGAAGAATGAATGCAGCTTGGCACCACTTTCACTGCCATGGGCCAATGCTATGGAAGCATGGGAGTTGTAATTTGGTGAGGCACTAGCACTCTTGGGCAGGGAAGGCTCAAGAACTTGCGAAACTACAGTGTTCCCTCACTTATTGAGGGTCTTATGTTCCAGGACCACTCGCGAAAAGTGA